GATGGATGGATGGATGGATGGATGGATGGATGGATGGATGGATGGATGGATGGATAGATAGATGGATGGATGGATAGATTTATCTGTCTATGTATTTTTCTCTTAATATATTGTGTTTCCCCCCAGTAGCATGTGAGCTCTGAGAGCAGGAACTATCTTTTATTTTTTCATTGTATCCTTGTACATAGTAGGTGATTAATAAATGCTTATTGTATTGAATCTTAGCATTGAAGGCTTCACACTGGAGAAAACCTTTTGAACACAATGAATGTGGGAAAACTTCTATAAATTAAGGGGAACTCCAGTGCAAGTAAGATAACTCTTGCTGGAGAAAATTCTTTCATTATAAAGAAATTTTGGAAAGTCTTCAGCAACTGTTCATCCTTAAGGGTTCATTCAACATATATCTATAAAGCTGCTATGTTCAGGGCACTGCTAGGCATTGGGAATACAGAGCTAAAAAAGGAAACAGTCTCAGACTTCAAGGAGCTTACATTCTACTGAATGAAATAGAAAAGTATAGCAAATACTGGGTAAAATCAGTATTAATAGAATGAGCGTGGGAAAGTATTTACAAACAACTCAATCCTTAGACCACCAGAAAATTAATGTTGGAGGGGAACCTTATAAGTATAACGAAGTAGAGAATGACTTCAGCAACAGATCATCCCTTAAGGAATATTGGGGAATTTACTGAGTCATAGAATCTGAGTTAGTTTCACTTTAGTGGCCAACTACCTGACCATGAGTCCCTCCAGCAACACCTTACCAACCTTTGCTTGAAGATCTTTGGTGAGGGAGAGCCCAGTACCTCTGGAGGCAATAATTCCACCTTTTTGCAGTGATTAAGAAGATATTTTACTTTACATAAAGTCGAAATCTGCCTCTGTAATTTCTCTCCATTGCACTACCCCTCACTCCTGCCTCCCATTGTCTTATTTCCTCTAAGCTAAACATCACTAGTTTTGCCCACCCCAGAGGCCAGAAACAACAGGTATGGGTAGAAGTTGTAAAGATGCAGGAAAAACGTCTGAATAATTAGAGCTGTCCTAAAATGGAATAAATTGTAATGAGTTGCCTCAGTAGTTTGTGGGTTCTTCCTTAGAGTATTTCAGGTAGAGGCAGAATGATCATTTGTCTACTATGTTACAGTAGGGGTTTCCTTTAGGCATGGATTGGACTAGATGAAGCTGAAGTTACCCTTTAAATTCTAAAACTCTAAAGTAAATGGGTCTTTGGCTGGAGGAAAGGAGGAAAATCACTAGAGAAGGAAGGAGAATTACATCGGTTTTTCATGTGCTTCTGAGTTGTGTGAGGAAAAATTTACTAACAATTGGAACTATCCCAGCTAGAATGGGCTTCCATAAGAGTTGGTGGCTTTCCCTTCTTTTGAGGTTTTCATGCAGAGGCTGAATGAACACTCACTATATAGATTATAGGGGTGTTTCTTTTGGGGCTACAAGTTGGCATGGATGCCTGATGAGGTCCCTCCCAACTTCTGAAATTCTGTGATTCTGTGAGCCATTCTTTATTGGCATGGGACCGGGCAATAATAATTAACATTTATATGGTGTTTACTCTGTGTCAGGCATTGTGCTAGTACTTTACAATTACCACATCTAATTCTCACAACAACCCTGGGACCTAGATGCTATAATTATCTCTACTTTGCAGTTGAGGAAACTGAAGCAGACTGATTTAAGTGATGTGCCCTAGGTTATATAGTGTCAGAAGTTGGATTTGAACTCTGGTCTTCCTGACTTCAGACCCAGCATTCTAGCCACTGTGCCACTAAGTTGTACCTTAAAAATCATAAGAAAGTCCTTTAAATGTAAGGAATGTGAAGTCTTCAGCCAGAGAGCAGATGCTTAGAGAACGTGAGAGAAACTTTATCTAAATTTGCGATTTCATCAGATGTGGGGAAGTCTCTCCATCAAAGCAAATTGTCAACTTGTATAACTTGCAGTGTAAGAGAGTTGCCTGGGGCACTAAGAATTTTCGCAGCTGGTCCATCATGGTCACCCAGACTAACTCCAGGGCTTGTCTTCTATCACTGTACCACCCTACCTCTTAAGAGAAAAACACTGAAGACAAATTCTTTCGGTGTCCCAAATATAAATCCCTCAACCATGACTCACTCCTTACACATCAGAAAGTTTATATTAGAAATCCTATTGCTATTATCTTGGAACTGGATAGCATCTAGTAGCATTGGGGATAGTATGCTGGACCCTGAGTTGAGAAGAACTGACTCAGACATTTATTAACTTTTATATAATATGTATATATATTATACATGTGTGTGTGTGTGTGTATATATATATATATATATATATATATATATAAAATAGACAATTATTAACCATGGGCAAGAAAATTAACTTTTCTGAAGTTCAGTTTTGTCATCCCTAAAATAAGGATTATAATATTTGTAAGACACACTTCACAGGTATCACGGATCAAATGAGATTGTGGATAGGAAGTACTTTAGTTTTAAAGCATGATGTAAATGCTAACTCTCATTATTAAATTAAATTCATGCTGGAGATTATTTGTGGGTATGCCATAGTGCTTTATTCAGATTTGTCATTTGGTAAACACTGGATAGCTGAGATGTCAGGGTTTATTTGATCTGCTTTTGTTTGAAGGTTTGTAAAATAAAAGTGAGCTTGTTTCCAGCTCTAACATTGTGTATATGTGTGTTTGTCAGTCTTTCTTTCTATCTATCTATCTGAATCTTTGCACAGATGTCCTTTTTCTTTTGAATCTATACCTAGTGGGATTACTGGGTCCAAGAATGTAACCAGCTTTATGCCTCTTAAAACATATTGCCAGATTGGCATCCAAATACATTGCATGCTTTAAGATATTTTTGAATATCCTAGTTTTCCCCTCAGTCCTACTGACATTACATGTCATCTCTTTTATTTTTTGCCCCTTTTAATAGTGGTGAGATAGTACCTCATCAGTGTGTTTATGTTCTATATATTGGTGATTCCTTATATTTATTTAAAAGTGATTTATACCTGTTTGGATTTTTCATGAAATATCCATGTTTTAAGCCATTCATTCATTCATTTAAGATGTAATTTTTCTTACAGATGTTTCAGTTCCCAGAAAATCCTACAAGTCAAGCTTTCTATTCACCACACATCATTTTTTCTTCAATTGAATCAGTTAGACTTGTCTTTGAAATTCTTGATTATTAAAGCAATAGAACAAATGACTACACCTGTACGTTAATGATAATCTACTTTTTCCTTAATATTTTTCTTTGTATGCATCTATAATGTATTTATACATATATGTACAGGTATATGGTCATGACTGCTGTATATCTAGTTATATGAAAACACAAATATAGAATTTATGGGTTCATTTGGAATTTATTTTTGTATATGGTATAAATGTAGAATTGAATTTGTCTCTATATTATGCAATATTTCCAGAATTTTTCTTTTTTAATAATATTTTTATTGATTTTTCATCACCTTTGTTCTAAATATAGCCCACTTCCTAATGAGTCAACCTTTTTAACCATGAATAAAAAGGGGAAGAAGGAAGTAGTTCAACAAAACCAATATATCAACTATTTCTGACAACATATATAATATTCCATACTCAAAGTCTCCCTATGTCTGCTAAAAAGGGAGAAAGGTGCATTTTCTTCACTCTGGGCCCAAGGCTGGTCAATATAAGTATATGTTGTTTTTCCTTTTATATTGTTGTGGTCATATTTCCTGGGTTCTTCATTCTTAACATTTTTTTCAATAGTGATTCCTTTTTTCAATTTCAATCAATTCGTCATGATGTTGGTGCTTCTATTGATTTCTGAAATCTCTCTAACCTGTTCTATTGGCCAATCTGTTTTTTAACCTATGATCAGGCAGGTTGAACCTTTGTCACTCTATGTAAAATACTTTCAAAGTCTGAAAGGTCACATCATTAAATGTGAGTTGAACTAGATGGCCATTAAGGTCCATTACAACTCTGTGATTCTGAGAATAAGGAAGATAAACTTGATATGAATAACACATGGCATGAATCAGACACGAATTACAAGCAGAGCAAATAAGATCTTAATTTAAGAAAGCAAAATTATAGTTATCACAGCCTTGGTAGGGTATAGGGCATATGATGGGAATATGCTCTGGAATAGTATGCCTTCTAAAAGAATAGGGTAGTTAAAAGGAGGCCATATACTGTAAGTATGTGAGCTCATTGAGAGGAGGACTATTTTTGTCTTTCTTTGT